GCTTGTTTCATAACAATAAATAATGCTATAAATCCTGCTGTACTGGACTGCAAATAACTTCAGCTGAATAAAACTGTATGACATGGGATTTACTTATCCTGTATGTTCACATAAACAACTTATTCTCTGACAGCACTCATTCTTGGCAATTTATTGTACCTGTCAGCAGCCAATTTGTTCAGATTACTGCTATGCATAAAGTTGTAACAATCATGAGGATTTATTAGCTGATTATCGTAAAGGTGACAGTCAAGATTGCCCTCAAAAACAGAAATTATAAGAAAGTTAAATAATTACCTGAAGATTAAAAATCATTCCACCTTCATTTTGATCTTAGTATTACCTACATAAACCTACTGCAGCATATGCTGCTAATAACAGGAGTATATTGAGTCAATAATAACAGGAGTATATTGAGTCAATACAGATGATAAATTGTTTGCTTATGGCTAAAAATGTGCATGTTGAATGTACTCAAATCAAACAATATATACACAGACTAACAGATTTCTACTTACCAGATGAAGCAATGACGTATACTGCTCATTCAAGACCATATGCTTATCTGAACTCAAGAATGCTGCCCTGCTGCCCCTGTGGTTTTAGCTGCCGGCACTTTCCAAAAAAAAAAACCCCAAAAAAAAAAAAAAAAAAAAAAAACCCCCAAAAAAACCCCCCCCCCCAAAAAAAAAAAAAAAAAAAAACAAAACCAAACCAAAAACAAAAAAAACCCCAAACAAACAAACAAAAAAACCACCAAAACCAAAACTTCTAGAGCTCATGTCTTTGGACCTGGAATCATATAATCACAGACTGTTTCGGGTTGGAGAAACCCCAAACAAACAAACAAAAAAACCACCAAAACCAAAACTTCTAGAGCTCATGTCTTTGGACCTGGAATCATATAATCACAGACTGTTTCGGGTTGGAGGGGACCTTAAGATCATCCAGTTCCAACCCCCTGCCATGGGCAGGGACACTTTCCACTAGACCAGGTTGCTCCAAGTCCCATCCAATCTGGCCTTGAACACTGCCGGGGACGGGGCAGCCACAGCTTCTCTGGGCAACCTGTGCCAGGGCCTCACCACCTGCACAGCCAAAA